ATTCGGTAGCCGAGATGCATGGCGAAATTTGCATTATTAGCCTGTAACACGTGTACAACACAGAAAATGATCCTTTAATCTTATGCAGTAGGTGCTAAGAAGCGAATAATGCCCTTCCTATAGTAGCTAACGTCTGATTCTATGGCAGACAACGTGGAGATAAACCTCAATTTTCGCATCATCGACCTCGATTACGCACACGACATGACCAGCTTTATATTCAGTTAGGTAGCGATACACATAACCTTAACTATATTAATGACATGGCATCGCCTATTGGACAGCATATTAATACCTCCTAGACAAAAAGCTTATATTAAGCGTTATCAGATTGAGATAAACTTCCAATCAGATTGACCGAATGACCATCGGAGAAATGACCATTGGTGCCTGCAAGTACGTTGGCTGGATCATGTCACCAATGATCAATCCAGAAATGTAATTGCCTAACATCTTTCAGCACCGAGATAGTATTTGTTGCAACTACCCCAAGCTAGGCGTCGAACAGTCAGCCTCAGAACAAGAGTACACCTCGTTCAATCCATGGTGAGATTGGTGTTACTCTGTGGCAATGAACGCGTAGGATATCAGACGGTTAGAGCCTTCTTCCGGAATGCTGATTGCGTTCGTTTGCACATGTCTATTGGTCACTCACCCCTGATGAGACTGTATCCAAAACACTGCCATCTTTTGTCACCCTGCATGACGTCAATGGACGGGCGAAATCAGGTCATGGTCTGACCCTAAGGTCTGACGACGAATATATCCGGGGAGCAACGGTCCACAGGTCACGAGGACAAAATGGTCCTGATTATTTTTATTGGCCACGTACAGTGGAAGGCAGCGACGCACAACATTATTGGGGCCAGTTAAGCCGTTGGTGGCGCAGTCTCAATTAAGTGAGATTTCGGATTTGAGGTCGTCAACTTTGCTTCGTGCACTGGTCACAATTTTGCGTTAATTGCAAAATGAACTTACCAGAAAGAAGTTGAAGCTCTGAACGGTCAACGTCACCGGGTTTTGGGCGTTTCTGATAATCTGCACGCACGCCTCGTGCGAGCTATTCGTCAGATCGATGCCATTCACCTATAAAAAAGCGAAATCCTTAACCTGCCAACCACATGCTGGTCTCGGCGTTACGTCAATTATGCGATCGCCAATGCGGATTTCCCCCGTGCGGCCAGCGGGGCTGTTCGGAATCACGTTTTTGACAAATATTCCCGAAATCTTCAGGGGGCTTTCGACAGAACCCCTGGAAACCTCGATGTTGCCGCCGACAATGCTGATGCCCAGAAAGTTGCCCGCCTCCTTGAATATCTTGATCGTCCTCAACGCGCTGGACAACGGCGAAGAAAGTGGCTCATGTGACGTTCTTCGATGTAAGGCAGTAGGGTCAGGTCTCGCTGTTCTTCTGTGTAGCAATAACTGAATTTGAGGTTTAAGCGGCAGCGAACTACACTCGGCTCTGGCACTTTCCGGAAAATACATCATAGTCGAACACGACACAGAACCGGAAGTGAGTTCGAACTCGGCAGCAACCGCAGAGCAGCCAAGGTTTTTGCTGGGAGATGAATTGGCGGCAGCGAGCGTGGATGAACGAGTAAAACTGTTTTTAGGAACAAATCGAGGACTTTCCATGCTACTAGCCGAAGATGTCTCCGCTTTATCGAATCCGGCAAATATATTAACCGGCGGACAGCTTATTGCACTTGAAATTGAGGGGTTTGATCCACCGGTTTTGCTGGACGTATCATCGTAAAGCAGTCCGTCATATTCTAAGCTTCCGCTGGATATATACGGAGACCTGTAAAACGTCTATGATAAACACAAATGCACGTCAATGAAGCAGAGAAACTTGTAATAAGGGCACACTACCACTCATGCTTGTTCAAGACAGGTTCTAAAATCATTTCAACGGATTCTCAAGTACAGCGCAAACTACTTTCTGATGATAATATAACTAGATATGTACTTAGTTTCAGCCCAACTGCTCTGTTGTTCTAGATGTCTGAGGACATTCACGCAAGCAAAGTTTTGTTGTACCTCAAGTAGCGCATGCTACAACCCTTGAACCATCTTCTGTCAAAGAGCATGTGCTAGACATTCATTGATATATCCCATGCATTAGTTGGATTTGCGATAAGCAAACTCTTGGATGCTGTTACTGACTGGGAGAGTTGCGGAATCCTGACAACAGATTTGATGGAAAGGACGAAAACACTTTTATTTAAAATATTTTTTACACAAGAAATATTCTGCACAAATGACGACGTTCCCAGTAATGCGCATGATCAAAGAAACACAAAACGCGTGTGATTTACGCACGATGCAAATGAGGTAGTCACTCAGATAATTCACCAGTACCTACATTTCGGTTCGTCTGTCACTGATCCTATTCAAATAAATGAGGTTGGCTGACCGAAAGAGGAATTCCTTTTCTCATGGAACTGCTGCGAACGACATAAGAACTTCTCGAGTCAGTCAACCTTGAAGAAGGCCTGTGACATACGCATCAAAACGACAGTACTCACAAAACATCCGATTGACTACATTATTTACAACGTGTTTAAATAAACAATGTTTTATGTTCTTTCCTGCATGACCACACAAACAGACAGGCACTAACGAAATGCTCAATAGTGCACCGTAACTTTCTTTTCAGCGTTCAAGTTAGGCTACTCAA